GCATCGCCCGAAAAAACCCACATAGGTCATTATTAAAACATAGAAAGGCTTCGGCATCAACCTTAAGTCAATGAAGTACATAAAAGTTGAATGTAATGTTGCTTCTAAGAAGCAAGTCTCTCAATTGAACAAAATAGAAAGCTATATTGTGTTCGTTTTGTAATGAAAGGTTCAGTAGTTCTTTTTATGTTTTATCAACATATTAGAAACAATCTTGACCAAAATTAGATTTAACCTTTCATGTTGTTCGCCATGTCTTTAAGACGTCATGATCGTCGTTTCCGGTCGATGTTGTCTGTTAAGTGACGTATAGTGTATGCAATGTATTTTAACTAGAGTCTGTCAAGTGTTAATTATAGTTCAGACAATAAATGGTTCTGTTAACTAGAAAACATCTTCTTCTGTCACAAACATTTTTTTTTCTTGTTTATTATTCTGTCTTGATTTAGATTTGATTCATTCATTATGCTAGTTTTGTTTAGTTACTCTTTTGTTACATTGTTGGATTCGGACAATAACCCGATGCTCACTAATCCTTTCTCTCCTCTCGACTTAAACAATTTTATTTTTTTAGGCTGAACTGTGGCTAATTGAAAAGTCAAAATCAAGCACACAATGTCCGGATCTCTCATGGAACATTTCTAACAAATTGATAAAATTGAAGATCATGGGCGCATGTCTGATCTACCTGATGAAACATTTCTATGATCGGAAATGCCGTATAGAATCGCCTCTAACCCCCTTTATTGACCCGATTGAATCCCAACCAATGGATTATTGCGACTTCAGTTCGGGGCTTCTGATATAAATGTTCGAATAAAATGAACAGCATAGCTTCTACATGTTTATTCATCAACTACATATCCAGAAGTGACGCTCTGAAACCTTGGGAGGAAGTCCACGATACCAGGCGCCTTTATAACACGTGATCAATACACTGCATGGATCACGACAGAGGGACAAAGTGTTGATAGGATTATCTCTTCTTTATTTTAAAGAATAAAGTTAATTCTAATTCGTTTATGTGGTATATCGGTCTGATGCTCTGTGTTCACGAGGAGGATTGATTTCTTTGTGGCATTGCATGATCAGCTGATTTTTTGGTTTCAACACCATTTAGTTTGGCAGCATTACTGTTAACTGTAGCTGGTCCTGAAATAGCTGGAACTGGAGATAAAGGTTTATTAGTACTCGGTATTAGTACTATTATCTATAGAGGGATCATGAACGTTTATTAAGTTGATCTTCGTGTCGTTTCCAAACATTCTGATTTACCTGGACGCCATACGACTTTTGCATGGCATTAACGATAATGCCGAGTAACCAACGCGGACCTGAGCGAAGGTTTAAAACAAACACGTGATCAATACACTACATGGATCGCTACGGAGGGACAAATTGGATGTTCTAAATTTGTTCATAGGACCGTTTCACAAGGGATTCTTTTGGTACTGATAGTATCCGATCTTGTTTTTGGTTGATCGGGTGCTTTTTTCGCGAATACCGTCGGGACTGCGACAGCGTATTACCTTATACGTTACGTTATTTAACTCAGTAAAATCAAAATGATGTGTTGTTGTTATTCTGCATCTATAAGTTTTAATCCTGTCAATTTTGTTATACAAATTTAGTTTATTTTCTTCTTTTGCTCGTACCAATTCATGATTGCAATATCCTTAAAAATCCTCTCAAAATATAAGTGAGGTGTTCCGAAACCTTGCCGAATGCTCGTTTACCCTTTTCAATTGCAACTATTTAAGCAAATATTTATGTAAATGTCAGACTTAAAGTTTCCCTAGAAATGGCACATTATAGGAAATAAAATTTCTACAACGAACAACAACTAAATGAAACGATCAGAATAAATACACCGTATGATTGACTTAGAGGTAACCTAAATCACATCAAAGGAAAGCTTTTGCTGATGAAAAAATGTACATAGGATGAATATAAATAGTTGCTAATATTCTAATGGAATTGCAATCGTTCTTTTTTCAAAGATTTAAATATTCTACCCAGCGTGGAGTATCTTAAACACGATAATGTCTACTTTCTTGAACTTGATGGTTATAAATTGAAAAATATTCCGTTAGAAAACAATTAATGACAGTATTTTCACTGTCTGGTGTGTAAGCCCCCTTACTATGTATGGAGAATATTTTAATCAAGTCTACACTATTCAAAATAGGCGATTAATGGCAGTGGCCATATTAACTGTTCAAATAAAAATAATCTGACATAATCTGATTTATTGAATCAGTTTATTTTAGTCTTTTAATAAACGTCTGGATAATACCGACTAGACACTAACCTTATAGACTAAATCGATTAGACTTCTTGCGATTCTTCGCTCTTTGTTATGAACATTCGAGGAGTTAGTATACAAAGTCATGAATTCAAATCAAATATATACCTATCATTATTTGATTACAATGCAATCTTATTAAAGACAACTTTGACAGGTCCAGTCTTCAAAGAATGATTATAACGAACAAACGTAATTCAACATTCTGAAATCTGAAGTATAACTTATTAACTTTCAATGTCTACGAAACAGTAGTCCCTAGTTTTATCGGTTAGGAAATGAAAATATCGTCTAGACGTTTGGATTGGACAAAAGCCTGTGTCCTACGTTAACGATCCATCCATGGTTAGTAATCAAATAAGGAGTGTGCTGATGCCGGTGTCCTGACATTATTTATCGTCGCCCAATAAGAAATGCAGCAATTTGATTAGTTAATAGAACTACATTCAAACTCGATTTAAATGATTGTTCAACCAGATTACCGGAACACTAAAATCATCTCAAGGTGCAGAAACGTAGGACAGTCAAACTCAATTTCATCTATAAATTTTACAGTGATAACATTTCATGAGAAATATGACAAAAGTTTGGTGGTTTTATTCGTCAAACACAGTATTGACATGGAAGGCATTGACCAAAATTTGAAATTTGAAATCTAGATTGTCAATAAAATAAATGTACAAGGTATAGTGACTTCACTAATCTGACATTAGGATGAAGAATAAAAATTTTCCCACCGAGTATCGTCTTAATGGAATGATGACATAAGTTTCTACTCTTATCAACTTTAAAATATAAGATTACCTTACAATGAAACATATCATATTAACATCACTAATTACGTCTCGGGCTCCAGAGGTATAATAATAACGATCACCAAGGGCTTTATAAAAATCCACTTATGTATAATTCATAGTCTAAGATATCTTTAATTTATGGGGATGTGTAGCTTTATGGAGAGACTCTACCAGCGAAGGAAAAATGACAGGGCGCCCAACTCTTCAAGAGGGCACCAACAATCCTTTTTTAACACTTGTCAGCATAAGTCCACAATTGGCACAACAGTGCCCCTCTCTTCTTATGATTAAAGATATTCAAAACGTTATAAAAACAGTGTTGAATCATATTTTTCTTTCCCATCTTCAGAAAGTGAACATACGCAGATAAGTTGTGATAGCGTCCTTTTTTTTTCCTGTACTTCTATTCTTGAATATTTTATTAGCAATCTGTGCGACTCAACTAAATAGCTAATATGGAAAGCTAAATTCATTTAAAGGTGCCAATTACCATTCATTCTATTAGATGACTCGAACTACATTTGTGGGTTATAATTTTGTTTTTGTTGTAGTATATCCAGGAGTATTAATTGCTTTTATATATCTCGGCAAATCATGGTAGTTTGGGGTTAAAACAATCATTAATGATTTATGGACAATATCGAATGGTAGGTTAAAAGTTGAACATACGCCAGGATTTCTTCCGGCATTGCCAAATTTCATTACGTTGAATGTAAGGATATTTAAGCAAGAGCTCGTAGAAATAAATTGAGAGTTTCAAGCTGCTTTGAAATTCATTGCGTTGATGAAGAATCGAAGGCCACCTAAGCATTAAGTCAAGGCAGAAAATTCACTATTAGTTCTCCATGAAAATTAAGAGTGCATGGCCCACCCTGTAAGTACGCCATTGTTTCCAAATCTTTTTGTTTTATTTACCCTCGTATGTATTAAAAGCAGTAGTCTATGAACATTGGAGTAAATGGAAAGAATAGTGAGTAATGGGAGATGAATCTAGAGAAGATTGTCCGCTTCGCAATAAATTCATTTTCGGACATAAAGTGCTGAAGGAATTGTTAGTTTTTAACAACTGATCAATTGGAAGTGAGGAAAATAGGACATTGCTTATATTATAGCGGAATCTCTACATGACAGATGAGTTATCGCGACTCGCGAGTGGTAGATTAAGACATGTATCGGCAACTTCACATTCAACTTTATTACAGGTACTAACAAATAGAAAATGATAAAATAAATTAACCCACCATACGTCCGGTACCAGCTACCAATGTATCTATTAGCACTTATAGTTTCATACATGCGTTCTCGTTCTGATATAAGTCATAGATTTACGGTAAAGTCTTAAGGCATTGAAGGAACACTTCTTTCGGTGTATTGTGGATGAACACAGCTGTTGGATTTTGGAGTAGATGAAGTATGCTGATGGCAACAAGTAATGAGCCTTACTTATAACATTCCAATGCACTTCCATCCTCAGTCATTATATAGATGCTGTAGCGATTGCTGAATTAGCAAATTCGAGAAAATGCTTTTTCAGAACATACTCAAGCCACAACGTTTTCTGCATATTGGTCACTTTCGTGTCGCTCTTATTTAAAATTAAAGTCCGAAGGTTAGGCGAATACAGTACCACATTAACACTCTTACGGCTTTTGTTAGAATTTAACATTGTTGTTACAGGAGTCTTTTTCATCAAAAATCTTGCAATCTCCTAACAACATAATTTAGACATACAGAACATTATTATTACAGTAAACTTAAAAATCAAAACACTATGCACATAATTAATAACAAACCTTATCAATATATATAAAGATACAATGATTGGATAATAATGTTGTCGAGGGGGTATAGCTTTAGCCAATAACAAAACTACACCATAAAGGTTCCATAGAATTTATTTAAATAACAATAAAAACCCTGAAAGTATATATAAATAACATGATTATAATACAATCTAGTAAAATAATTATTTAAAGTAGAACATCTCTATTCTTAAATAAGATAAACATATATAACAAAATCCACGCTTACTACAAATTACCTACTGATCTCTATAATATGAAGCATATAAATATAACTGGCAATTACACGTATGCAAATGGATATTAATATAAATTACTAAATAATATAAAACTAATAGAACTAATAACCTACCCTGAAAAGGGGTTTAAACTTAGTAAAGGTAAATTAGGTGAAGTACCTAAGTTGGGGGACAGGCTCTGAAAAGGGAATGTAAATGTATGGTTATATATATTGTGTATAATAGAATGCATATAAGGGAATATATTACTTGATACTTATAAATTTATTAAACAAACTTGACCAAATTTGCACAATTAAACATGGCTGCCAAACTGGTATCCAAGGCAAACAAAGAAAACTATGAACTTGAAACACTAGGCTACATAAACTACAGTATATAACTTTAACATACCTGATGGTAAATTCCAGAAAGTCACAATAATATAGAAACTATATTACAAACATAAATCCAAATACTGGTGTATCTGTATTGAAGAAGTTTCAATACATAGAAAAATGACAGAAAAGTAACTAGCATCCTACACCTATGAAAATTAGAATCTCACTACAACAAAACCAGTTGCTAAAACTCAACATGAAAAATAATTAAAAGAGTTCAGTGATTAAAGTAGAAGATCTGAGATGAAGAATGCTCAGATAGAGAGAAATAGAAAAACCAGTGAAGTGTAACTTTAAATGTTAGTTAAATACTGTGCTGAATTAAAGGAGCTAAACCTGAATATTTACACTCTTCAACATTCTCCCCTCCTTCGGGAAAAGTTGTCCTCAACTTTCAAACTTGAAAACATTGAAAAATACTTTTCCATACAAGTCATAAACTTGACTGAAACAAGGCAGAAATTACCACAGTACTATGGAAATCAAATAAAATGTAGTTTTCCCAATAAAACCAAAATCCCACAAACTATATATATAAACTGAATACAGATTAAAACTACACTTATATCTGTGCTTGTACTAATGCACTGAAAACAAATCCAGAAATAACGATCTACACAGTTCCGGCAACATTGACAAAACAACTTGAAGCCTGTCAGGTGTTAATAACATAAAATTTGATGGTAAAAGAGATCTGGCTAACTCAGCTCGCATCTGATGGGTAGAAGTTACCTGTTGCTGGGACATAACATAGTCCGTAAAACGTGCGGGAGTTCGTCTGGATCTATCGGATCTCCTAGGAGGTCTTGCAGACGATTCATCAGAAACCTCTGACTCATCTGAAACATCTGGTGTTGCAACTGATGTTGTAGGCCTGTCAACATTATCCTGAGTTACCTCGTGGTCAGGTACAACAGTCAAATCTTCATTGATTACTGGGATATCCCTGGAGCTAGCTGTTGGTAAGTAGTTTACCAATTCCACCCTATACCCACAATCATCATCTTCATCGTCTCTCCCTCCTATATCTTCTTCAAGATGTTCCTGAGTTGTGTTGGTCTTTGTCCTTGTTCTTGGCTTGGGCTGCGGTCTTTTGACTCATATATCATCTTCAATAGGCACCGAACTGATTGGTAGCAGATGGTTTCTATGAAGAGTACGCACCCTACCACTTCCATCTTCCTTTACCACATAATAAACTGGAATTCCTGTGTGCGGTTGACGTACTACCTTGTAACACTCTTCCTCCCATCTATCTGCTATTTTGTGTCGTCCCTCCTTGAAAGCTAACCTTCGAACTAAAACTCTATCACCTGTTTCAAGAATGTTGGTCCTGGCCCTCAGATTAAACTTACTTTTCTGATTCTGGTGGTTCCTTGACACTTCATTAGCAGCTGTTTGATAAGCAAACTCCAGCCTCTCCTTCAAACTATCCACATAGGTGTTGTAAACATACGTCTTCCAATCCTGTTTTTGTTCCGTGTTTAGAGTGCCTAACATGTTAAGTAACGTACGGTTAAATCGTTCGCACTGCCCGTTTCCCTGGGGATGGTATGATGTTGTCCTTGACTTAGTCATGCCAGTAACCTGACACAATTCCTTAATCACCTTTCCCTCAAATTGCTGTCCTTGATCACTATGAAGTCTATGAGGGATGCCATAATGCACAATAAAGTGATCAAACAAGGATTTAGCTGTTGTTCTAGCCGTAGTATTCCTAACTGGAATAGCCTGTGTGTATCTTGTAAAGTGGTCTGTAAGTACCAAGATGTTATCATATCCACCCTTACTAGGTTCTATACACACATAATCCATACAGACTAGTTCAAGTGGACTGCTTGTCTTGATGTTCAACAATGGGCAAGTTGATGGTATAGCCTTTCTCCTCAAACACCTTGGACACTTTCTGATATACTCATCAATATCACTAGTCATCCTCGGCCAATAAAACCTCTCTCGAGCCAAACTAACTGTTCTGTCTCTGCCCTGATGACCTAGTTCATCATGGATACCATGAAGTGCTTGCTGCCTAAATTTTGATGGTAATACCAGTTTAAAATCTTCGTCATCTCCATCCATCACTCACTTAAACAAAACCCCAGATCTGATGACGTAATGCCCTAGATCTCTATAGAGTGAGGATTCCTGGGGTGTTGAGGTTTCAGTCTTACCCTTAGCACCTTTCTCAATATACTGCATAAACTTAGAAAGTATTGGGTCTTCCTTCTGTTTAACCCTCCAATCTTCAGATGCCACCAATGATGAACTAAATGGATAGGATCTGGGACTGCCTGATGGGACATACTGATGGTTTGGCAGTATCCATCGTCCACATCAATGTTCTTCAAAGCTCCCAAAATCTGTTCATCTAACTCTTCTGTATTTAACCTACTCAAAGCATCAGCATCTGCGTTCTTCTTGCCAGCTCTATACCGGATGGTGAAATTATAATTCGCCAATGCCGCTAACCACCTATGACCTGTAGCATCTAACTTGGCAGTAGTTAATACGTATGTCAGAGGGTTATTGTCGGTATAAGCAGTGAACTTTGAGTTAAACAAATACTGGTGGAATTTCTCACAGACTGCCCATTTGAGTGCCAAAAACTCAAGCTTATGAGTGGGGTAGTTCCTCTCTGACCTACATAGAGAGCGACTGGCATAGGAAATTACCCTCTCTTTACCAATCAGTTTCCTGATAGAGAACAGCACCTAAACCGTCACCACTAGCATCAGTATGCAATATGAAAGGTTTTGTCAGCATATGCTAGTATAGGTGGACTAACCAGTGCTTCTTTCAACTTCAGAAACGCCTGCTGCTGTTCCTCACCCCATTCCCACTTGGCTGATGTCTTGATATCCTTTACCTTTGGTCTCCTCTTCTTTGAAATTGGTCCCCCAATTAACAATTCATTTAAAGGTTTAGCAATGACAGAGAACTGATTGACGAAACGCCTATAGTACCCTACGAAACCAAGAAAACTTCTCAGCTCATCAGGGTTAGAAGGTTCAGGCCAAGATGATACCTTGTCAGTTTTCTTAGGATCCGTCTTAACTCCTTCTGCTGACACTATATGACCTAAATAACGAACCTCCTTCTTTAAAAACTCACACTTCTTAGGCGACAACTTTATCCCATGTTCTTTAAGTTTCTGGAACACTCTGTCTAGCCTCTCAACATGCTCTTCATATGTTTTACTGAAAATGATCAAGTCATCAATAAATATGGCACAGATCTTCCAGTTGAGGTCTCCTAAACAATCTTCCATTACCCGTTGATATGTAGCAGGAGCATTGGTTAAACCAAACGGCATACGTTTATACTGATAAAACCCAAGCGGTCCTACTGTAAAAGCAGTTTTCGGTTTATCATCTTCATCAACACTAAGCTGGTAATAACCACTTTTCATATCAACCACGCTGAAATATTGACATCCCACTAAATTGTCGAGCAACTCCTCAATCCTTGGAAGCGCATACGCATCTTTCACAGTCTTGTTGTTCAGCATCCTGTAATCTACACACATACGGAGAGAGTTATCCTTCTTTCGAGCCAGAACAATCGGTGATGCCTAAGGACTGTGACTCCTCTCAATGATATCTCCATCCAGTAGATCTTCGAGATGGTGTTTTACTTCCTCATACTTCGCTGGTGATATTCGCCTATGAGGTTGCTTGAATGGTATGTCGTCGGTGAGCCTGATCTTATGCTTAACCAAACTAACACTTCCTATGTCCTTGTGATTCTTGGAAAAAACACACTGCCAATTCAACAAAAACTCTTTCAGTTGACTTAACTTCTCTTCTGACAATGCTGTAGATGCAAAGTCAATCTCATCTAAGAACGACCCTGTCGATTCTTTAGGTGTATCGGTGGTTAAGGCATTGACAGATGTTCTCCTAACAATATCAGCAACGTGCAACTCACAGAGTACCGAGTGTGGAAAAATTCTGACTGGTGATAGGGAAAGGTTAGATACTGTAACAACAACTTGCGTATCCACACCTGGGTCTACCTCAATCAGAGTCGGAGTAACCTCCACACCAGCTGGGAGAGCTGAATCCTCCGACCTCTGAAAGAGAACCCTTTGCCTACAAGGCACGGACAAGTTGCTAACCCTACCAACCATACAGAGAGTCTTGTTGCTGTGTATTGTCATCGATTTGTTCCCACAGAATCTCACACACCCAACTTTACCAGACAACTGTCGTTCCTGTACCTGCATACAGCTGAAGGTAAATGACCAAACATCTGGTAAAGTGTCAGTGGGTAAACCACTCTGTGTAAACTGTTCATTCAGTGGTTTAAGAACATTAGTGCCAAGAAGTACTGATGTTGTCTTGTTAAAAGGTGTATCAGGCACAACAAGAAATAAACAATCTAAATCAATGGATCCTAGACCAGGAACCTTAAGGTTAACTGGAATATAACCCAGATATGGCAAAATATCTCCACCTGCACCTTCAACTACCAGTATCTCTGTCAATGGAGTCAAACTACAAGATTCTGATTTCAGAAAATCTTCAAAGTAAGACTGTGATACAGTGGAAATGGTTGAACCTGTGTCTGACAACCCTGTAGTCATACAACCATTAATCTCCACAGCTGTGGTGTTACTGTGGCCTATCAACTTCTTTTCACTGGGACTGGGTATTAAACTGTCAACTAATTGTCCCTCATTAGTGACACTTGCTAGTTTAAATCCTTCTTAGGATTTCTACACCCAATAGCCACATGACCAACCTGACCACAACGAAAACAAGTAAATTGTTGTTTCTTCAAAGGAACTGGAGTAGAAAATTTGGGGGTAGATGTCTTGGGCACATTGGATTCCATTGCAAAAGATCCATTACCTGCCTTCATTTCCCTAACTTCTCTCTGAAGAGCACAGACTGTAGCAGACAAACTCTCTGAAGACTGACACTGTCCCTTCAACTGAGCCACATCACCCTTAAGTTCTTTAACAGTTCCGGTCAATGATGTTATTAAACTCTTAAGGTCATCATCCGACTGTTGGACCATCTTACTGTGTGTCTTCGTCAGCTTAGAATTTTTACTCTCACTTGTAACATCTCTTTCCAACTTTCTAACTTCTCTCAGGAGGTCATCAAAATCAGTCAACCTGTCAAATTTATGAGCGGAACGATCCTTCAATTCCTGACGAAGTCCACTCCAGAATTTGACTCTCAACTTCGATTCAAATGATTCTGAGTCCACTTCATTCTCCTGACGTGCTTTATCCAATATGTCTTCAATTCTACAAGCCCACTTAGACACTGTTTCATCCGCCTGTTGACTTGCTGAATAAAACTGTGACAATAGAGACTGGCCTTCCTCTACCTTACCGAACCTGCTCTCGAGCTTTTCTAACAGCATTCGAGTAGTTGCGGAATGACCAAGCCTCATTGCCACCCTTCCAGCCTCACCCTTTAGTGACCTAATCACTGCAGTCTTTATGGCTTCGGGTGCATACTGCTTGTCTTTCAAGAGACTCTTCACCTCGAATTGCCATAAATCAAAGTGAGTATCCTTACTAGTAGGATCGCCAGAGAAGTAAGAAATCCTGGGTGGTTGGGTGTAAGTCAATTTCATTTTAGGTGATGCTACAGGAGATGAGGGATAATGACTGAAATATGATTGCTCCTCTTTCCTTACAGAATGAATAGGACTTACATCCTCAGGTATAACACCCTGTGACTTTAAATACCCAAACATCCAATCATTCAACTGACCTGCATTCTGAGCCTTAGGTAACACACTCATCATACCCATTCTAGTGAAAGAATCAACGATCTGTTGCTGCTCCTCTGATAAGGGATCCAGTAAATCTTTACCTCCAGAAGCCATGATGGTATCAATACAACAATGACAACCACAGAATATAAACACAAAAATCAATCCGATTTACAAAAACACTGTAATACACACATAATAGGTTCACCCATATCACAAACACAAACCTCAAATATAAACAATATCAATTATATACTGAAAACCATTAGCACAAACACTAAAATGAATACAAATAAAAATCACAAACGCAATAACTGAAACACAAAACCAATCAAATAAACACCCACAATGCAGTATTGCAGAACACATAATCAATTACTCGACACTCAATACAAGTACAAATACAACACTCACAGTGCAGAACACAAAATATACAATACAAATATATGAAACTCAATACAAGTACAAATACAAAAATATACCAACTTGGTGAAAACTACAATCAACTTGAATACCAAAACTCAAAACACATTCAGCTGAAAACACCATCAATTCAAAACACAAAACCCAAAATACAATCAACTCAAAACACAAAACACCATCAACTCAAAACACAAAACCCAAAATACAATCAACTCAAAATGACAATACAACTATAACCACCATCCACGTGCATAAATTTTGTTAGTAGCAATTGCAAATGAACACAGTGACAAGCAAAATAGAATAGAACAGAATACAGAGATAGACCAGAAATTCATAGACCAAAATCACAAATGAAAATAACAATATACCCCAATCAACTTCAATTCAAAAACTGAAAATCCAAAACCGAATAAATGTTGAACATACAATCACGAAATACAAACTACAAAAATTATCAAAGTCCAAATTCAAATCCAAAATACCAAAAAATGAAAAGTCAAAGTTCACGTCAAGGTCGAAACATCAAAGTCAAAACTCTGAAGCCAAAACATAAAATCAAATCAAAGTCCACAATCCAATTACGGAACTCAAAGACGAAATTATAAGTGACATCGAAACCAAAAAAAAAAAAATCCAGAAACACAATACAAAATTATGCGATGAAATTACAACTATTCCTAATCTTATTACTGAAAGAAATTTTATAATTAGTTACAAGTAATGTTGATGTAATGTTTGAGTGTAGTGTAATGAAATGCAAAGTGTAATGTTGGGGATAGGGATTGGGGTAAATTGAAAATGGGGGGGGGGGGGGGCATAATAAACTATGGGGGTGGGGGGGCAAACTAAGAATAAATATCCTAAGTTACTTAAAAAACAAGTGAATGTTTAGACTAAACAAACAATTGTCAAAATATGCCAGTTTATAAAATGTTCCTAATAATTCTTGCAGAATATTGCCAATATAAAAATATATACTATTACTTGCTAATGAATTAGGGATACTACATATTGCAAAGTAAAATAATTTACATAAGAAATGAAAATGACCAAAATAAGAGGGAGATAACTCTTAAAAGTTGGTAATGTCCAGACATCAAAGTAGGCCAAAAATTAGAAATTTTGAATATAATATATATAAGCTTATAAAATAGAAAATGTCCTAATCCTTGTTATCTCAATAAATCTTAAAAATAATTAATTACCTTGAATGATCCATATTATAAATCACAAAAACACTTAATCACAAACTATAAAGTTAATGTTAATGTCACTGCTTCCAAAATTGCTTCCTCTTCATCTGTAACACGCGAATGAGCTCAGGCCTTGTCAAGATCGAACCGGTATTCATCCAAACTTTTCCACCAAGTCCTTTATCGGGCTCCAAATGTTGTCGAGGGAGTATAGCTTTAGCCAATAACAAAACTACACCATAAAGGTTCCATAGAATGTATTTAAATAACAATAAAAAAGTATATACAAAATAACATGATTATAATACAATCTAGTAACATAATTATTTAAAGTAGAACATCTCTATTCTTAAATAAGATAAACATATATAACAAAATCCACGCTTACTACAAATTACCTACTGATCTCTATAATATGAAGCATATAAATATAACTGGCAATTACACGTATGCAAATGGATATTAATATAAATTACTAAATAATATAAAACTAATAGAACTAATAACCTACCCTGAAAAGGGGTTTAAACTTAGTAAAGGTAAATTAGGTGAAGTACCTAAGTTAGGGGACAGGCTCTGAAAAGGGAATGTAAATGTATGGTTATATATATTGTGTATAATAGAATGCATATAAGGGAATATATTACTTGATACTTATAAATTTATTAAACAAACTTGACCAAATTTGCACAATTAAACATGGCTGCCAAACTGGTATCCAAGGCAAACAAAGAAAACTATGAACTTGAAACACTAGGCTACATAAACTACAGTATATAACTTTAACATACCTGATGGCAAATTCCAGAAAGTCACAATAATATAGAAACTATATTACAAACATAAATCCAAATACTGGTGTATCTGTATTGAAGAAGTTTCAATACATAGAAAAATGACAGAAAAGTAACTAGCATCCTACACCTATGAAAATTAGAATCTCACTACAACAAAACCAGTTGCTAAAACTCAACATGAAAAATAATTAAAAGAGTTCAGTGATTAAAGTAGAAGATCTGAGATGAAGAATGCTCAGATAGAGAGAAATAGAAAAACCAGTGAAGTGTAACTTTAAATGTTAGTTAAATACTGTGCTGAATTAAAGGAGCTAAACCTGAATATTTATCTTCAACAATAATATTAAAATTATACTAACCCAAAGATGGGGTGTTTACTTAGGCTGAATACTATTAGAGATGTAACTTAGTTCTGTAAATTAAATGATAATTATATAAGTTAAAATGAAATGTTTTAATTGAACTGCATGATGTTATATATAAGTAAAACTTATCTCAATCACTCTGCTTGCAAATACAAATATAGTCACCCAAATATTACAATTACCCAAGATATTAACCAAAAGCACACATACCTGAAGAAAGTTGTTTGGTATCTAAGGTCTAAGTGAGGCTATAGAGAGCAAAAGTGATGAAACTCACCAGTAACTCACTGGCCTGACTACCCTATAGACAGTTCAGCCATTGTCCAGTGAGACCAGTTAAAGTTAAAGAGATAAGAGAGAGTAATAGTTAATGTTAGTAAGGCCAATGTTTAGTAATTATGTGCTGTTTAAAACTTACAGATGCATTATAAAACCAGACAACAATTTAATAAAATACCAAGTTTGTTTTAAAATGCACCCTATCACAGCAGTTCAAAATTTCCTTCTTACTTATTTCGTTTTCGTTGTTCTGTAGCCTACCAGAAAATGGTTATAATTAGAACGAATCCAGCATGATACGATCAATTCGACTTCTGACACCAATTTTAAGGACGCTCAACGGGAAGGGAAAGGGGTCGAAAGGGGTTAAAAAATACAAATGAGCAGTCGCTGTGTCATATTTCAAAGTGGCAAATGCCTCCAGTTAATAGCTATCGTTGAAAATTAAGTTGATCTCAGATTCTACTAGTCGTTCACTTTTGATGTGCGCCACATTGATGATAAACTTTACACTGCTTTCGTCCGTGTGGCAATCACTGCCATCTCATTATAGCGTTGGAAGCTATACGATCACCAGACGAAAATATCTGATTGATAGCTATCAGATGCTGGAATAGAGACAGAAATTTTGGTCTATGATAACGTGTGCAGAAACCGATGTCAGAGCATATGGATAGAAACCATGCTTGCTGATAGACACAACACATTGGCAGCTGGTACAGAACGCCACCCATTGCAGAGTCAGATTCTTTGCCATAAAGTGATTTTGCTAAAATTGGTGTCAGAAGTCGAATTGATCGTATCATGACTTTAAATAAGAGCTACACGAAATTGACTAATATGCAGAAAACGTTGTGGCTACATGCTTAAGTGTGTTCGGAAAAAGCATTTTCTCTATTTTGCTAATTCAGCAATCGCTACAGCATCTATATAATGGCTGAGGATGGAACTGCTAATGGTGACCTGACTAGGAATGTTTGACCTGACACATTCAGGAGTTTATCCACAACACGTGTTCCTTCAATGCCACAAGACTTTGCCGTAAATCTATGACTTATATCACATCTATGCAACAGTTTATCTCAACAATTGGAAGCCTATATCAGAGCATATAAAACAGAAACCATAATAAATACATTGGTAGCTGGTACCGGACGTATGACGGGTTAATTTATTTTCACTTTGTTAGTACCTGTATAAAAGTTGAATGTGATATTGCCGATAGTTGAATGAATTTGTTGCGAAACGGACAATCTTCTCTAGATTTATCTCCCATTACTCACTATTCTTTCCATTTACTCCAATGTTCTTAGACTACTGCTTTTAATACATACGAGGGTAAATAAAACAAAAAGATTTGGAAACAATGGCGTATTTACAGTGCTGGCCATGCACTCTTACTTTTTACTTCTTACTTAATGTTTCGGTGGCCTTCGATTCTTCATCAACGCAATGCATTTCAAAGCATTTCTATGAGCTCTTGCTTAAGTATCCTTACATTCAACGTAATAAAATTTGGCAACGCCGGAAGAAATCCTGGCGTTTGTTCAACGTTTTACCTACCATTCGATATTGTCCATAAATCATTAATGATTGTATTAACCTCAAACTACCATGATTTGCCGAGATATATAAAAGCTATTAATACTCCTGGATACTACGACAAAAACTATGCTATTTAGTTGACAGATTGCTACTAAAATATTCAAGAATAGAAGTACAGGAAAAAAGGACGCTATCACAACTTATCCGCGTATGTTCACTTTCTGAAGATGGGAAAGAAAAATATGATTCTGAAATCATAAGAAGAGAGGGGCGCTGTGGTGCCAATTGTGGACTTTTTCATTTTTTTCCTTTGCTGGTGGGGCAAGTGTCCGCCCTCTCAGCTTCCCCGGTCAACACGCCACTGTTCTTCATTTTCATTAGGATTATCAAATAAAATTTGATTACGAATATCATTGTAAGGCTCAGCTAAAAACCGTTCTCCTTGACAAAAACAATCCCAAGCCGTTAACATGGATCTATAGACAGGTGGCCCTAATTTTAAACTTGAAGCTTTATATTTAATAGATAATAGCTCAAATGTGCAAAAATAATTTTTATATTTTGAAAGAAAATATGTCATGAAAAGTTTCCAATATTCATTTTCATTACTTTCAAGATATTTTGAAAGCCAATATAGTCGAAAGGAATGTTGTTTAAGTTTTATATGTACAAGATTAAGTCCACCATGTTCTTTACTACCACATGTGATATTTTTCCTGATTAATGGCGGTTTGCCGTACCAGAGAAATTTGCTTATCAACTTATCTAATTGTTGTAAAGCCCATTGGGGCATATCCACTACCCTTAAAATATGCCAAACAGTTGACAGGCATGATGTATTAACTACGGTAATTTTGCCCTTCAGATGATGCTCTCGGGACTTCCATAAGTTCAACATTCTACCAATTTTATTAATGCGCGACTCCCAATTGAGTTTTTCAAACGAATTGTGATCTGGTCCTAAAAACACACCCATAATTTTAGTTGCATCATGTACTTGCTTTGCGGATATACCAGCACTATCGTTTTCAGTTAAAGAAGCACTTACCGCCAAAAAAAGTTCAGACTTTTCAACATTTATTTTAGCACCGGATGCTGAACAAAATATCTCTACAGTCCTGAGAGCTTCATGGATAGATTCCACGGATGACAATGTTAATGTAGTGTCATCGGCATGTTGATACAAAATAGAAGTATATGCACTTAGACAATGGGGAATGAAAATACCTTTCATATTAGCATTAGATTTTAAAAGCAGATTAAGAGGTTCATAGCTAAGAACATACAAGAGAGCTGAAATGGGACATCCTTAACGAACAGATCTTGAAATTGGAAATAAAAGTGAAACATGACCGTTGATTTTAATTGAGCTCCTGATAGAATTATACAGAATTTTGATATTATTTGCGAATGAATCACCAAAACCAAAAACATTTAGAAGATCGAACATATACTAGTGGGAGACTCGATCAAATGCCTTCTAAGCGTCCAGTGGAAGGTCCTCCAGACCAACATAATCTATAAGGTCCCGTATGTTCAAAATATTAGAAGCAATGTCTCTCCCAGGTATACAGCATAGTTGCTCTTTTGAAATAATGGAATCCATAACATGTTTGAGTCTCAATGCTAATGTCCTGGAAAATATCTTGTAATCGAAATTTAGCAAACTGTTCAACATGTAGTTAAATTTTAACAAATGGTTAAATACATTAACCATTTGTTAAAATTTAACTAGGCCAAAAATTTGTTTTTCAACTTCTCGTTATATTTAACCATTGGTTAAATTGTTGTAACCATTGGTTAAATAGCAGAATATTTAACCAAGCTAAGGGGGCGTCGTTAAAAGATTTAACTAATGGTTAAAAGATTCAAGATGGCTGCCAGAATGGTTCTTTTCCATATGCCACAGACAGTCAACAGAAAACAGGGGGTTTTTAGAGGGTCAAATCTTGTGAATTTAGATAACCGTGAGCTGCAGACCCGATACAGATTTGGCAGAGCAGGCATTGACTTCCTTACCAACCTTTTGACCTGCAACGTTCAACCAAAAAGGAGACAGCTCTGACAGTCGAACAGCAGGTCCTCATTGCACTTAGATTTTATGCAAGTGGTTCATTTCTGCAGGTGGTGGGGGGTACCCTGGGCTTTGATAATAAGGATGTCACCAATGCCGTTGTGTCCAAGAAACATGACTACATCAAGTGGCCGTTAACAAACGAAGAAAAGAATGCTGTGAAAGATGGATTTTATGGGCATGGACACTTTCAAAATGTTGTCGGATGCATTGACTGCACACATGTTAGAATTCAGGGACCAAGCGAGGATGAACCATCTTTTGTCAATCGCAAGGGATTTCACAGCATTAATGTGCAAGCTGTATGTGGTCATGCAGTTATTTGTGTCTTACAACATCTTTGTAAAAGTATCCCAACCACCACCCCCATCCATATAGTTATGCAAATGTGCTTTTTATCATAATTGACATTCTCAAAAACTAGCGATCCAAAACTCGAAAGAATATATCCCCACTTTATATTGGAGAGGACATAATGATAATTGTGGATCTACGCAACACTGTATGTACTATGTATGCTATAAATTGTAGGAAAATTTACCAACATCAATGCAAACTGGCCTGGATCCGTGCATGACTCGCATATATTCAATACTTCAAATTTGTGTGACCACCTAGAGAACTATCAGAGAGGGCTGTTAGATGGCATCCTGTTGGGAGACAGTGGATATGCTTACCGTCCATTTCTCGTGACACCATACCATAATCCTCAAGAGCCAAGCCAAATCAGATATAACAGATCCCATGGATCCACCAGATCGGCTATTGAGAGAAGTTTCGGCATTTTGAAACGGAGGTTTCATGTAATACATTCATAGGTAAAAAATTATTTAAAGTATAAATATACTTCCATCCTTGCCAGAAAATATAAAATTCACTTGACCAGTTACTAAGATGCCTTATTCCACTACTGGTATTTGTATAGCAGTAGGCCTGGTCATTTGCGAGCTAAATGTAAATACTTTTTTTTTACTGTTTGTGGTTTTGTGGACAAAAATGATTCAATTTATCCCTCTTTGGTTGACAAATATATTTTGTTACATGTATCAATTGTAAAAAACTCTCTTCCAGATGAGAATGAAACCTGAAAAAGTTTGTCGGGTGATATGTGCCTGTGCTGTGCTGCATGACAATGATGAGGATCAGGGTGAACAGAATGCTGTTCAAGTGCCTGTCTTTGATGGTGCCCAAGATGGTAGAGCTACAAGGAGACACATAACCAGAACGTATTTTGGGTGAAATAAATATATCTAAGTTTGCTTACTTAATTTATATTCAGCTTTTCTGAAGTTACACTGAATCGCCAACATACTTCAAAGGATATTTTAACTTTCAAGGATATTTTTGTATCTCAATCAAGATCACTATGTGAGAATTGTATCCTGATGTCCAATGATATATAATTCTATCCTTGAATTAAGCTGGAATGATCTTCATTCTTAAACAATGCGTAGTGTACTTAAAATAAGAGTCATATTTTTCATTTTCAAACACGAATTACTATGGCAACAAATGGATTTGGGGGCTAAAATTTCACTTAAAATTTCTGGTTTCTGAAGAAAATGAGATGTGATTGGTGGTAGGGATATTGAAAGTTGGCTAATAGGAACATAATATATATATATATATATATATATATATATATATAATACATAAGTGATCTCACAGCATATATCAAACATTTCTTAAAACATGGAGGCAAACAATGAGTTGATAGTTGGTGTGCCTAGTGGATTGTTAGGTTGAGGAACATCTGTCAGTTTTCTTAGTAAACTTATCTGTAGGTCCAATTTAATATTCTCTTGGTCTTGCCTTTCAAGTTCCTTCTCATATATCTTGTATTTAATGTCATGCAAGTCCTCTGAGATAATTTTTCTTTTAACAGTCTTTTTCTTTGATGTGCTTAAATAAAGAAAAATAACATTCATAATTCTAAAATTTTGATTTTAATTTTCATTATTATTTTTTTATATTTGATGATCTGTGATATCACATATCTCAGAAGTACATTTTTTCATAAAACATAACATACCGGTAAACTTTAGAATGAAATATTCCCAGTCACCGGTTTTGAAACTAGGCAATTTGTTAGTTTCAGACTTTTTACTGACGAATGTTTTGTTCGGTAATAAAATTAAATTAATAGCCCATATGTTTCAAAACAAATTTTTGTCAGAAATTCATTCACCAAAATAGGTTCTCAACGATTCAAGTCACGACACGATACATTTTAACAGACTTTTTGTTGCTATTTAGCAAAATGTCCATTTAGACTAGTCTAAAAATTAACTTTTTAATGGATTTGATGTGCTTGAACTGATAGGCATAAAATTGTTAAGGGCTAAAACTTGATTCTGCGAGGGGTGGGGACGGATATTATTATTAGGCGGCAGATTAAAAATATATAGGCATGATCATATAATTCTTTTGTCAATATATTAAGTAAATGGAATTAGTAGTAGGACTTTATCAAGGCCAAATTATTTTTTTTTAAATCTGAACATCCCCTCTCCAGAATCAAATCTTCAACTTAATATTTCAAATACCTCTGTCCCTGAGTAAGTCCTTATAAAGCTGTTTGTCTAGGTGGAGTTTTTGGTTGTAGTCTTGAAGGGCCTGGTTGTGGTGGTGTCTGGAGAATAGATGGACTCAATGGAAAAGCAGGAGGTGTAGGATTTCTTGGAGAATCTAGACTGAATGAAAGATTGGCAGATAAGAAACTATCATCTTCTGTGGCATCTTCCTCAGGTAGGGCTGCTACACTTGATGACTCTGAAAACCAACAAGATAATAAAAAAGTGGTTTAAAAAAAGTGTATTATAGAAAGTGGTCCAAGTTGGTTTGTGTCCGAGTTTGTCATGAAAAGTCAGTCCGAGTGTGTTATAGAACGTGGTCCGAGTTGGTTTGTGTCCGAGTTTGTCTTGAAAAGTGGTCCGAGTGTGTTACAGATAATGGTCCGCGTTGGTTTGTATCCGAGTTTGTCGTGAAAAAAGGTCCGAGTGTGTTATACAAAGTGGTCCGGGTTTGTTTTGATCCGAGTTATCTTGTATTCTTAACATCCGGTAGATATTTTTACATCTACTTTCGCTTTATAATCGAATTTTACGATGGCCTTGTTAGCTGGTGATGAGAACAAAAGGTACTGGCCTAGGTCACAAAGTTAAGATTTATGATGAAAAACAGTGCAAGTTAAAGGTTAAATAAGTTAATTATGACTAAATAGTCTTTAAATACTTGCTGTAGCATTTTTTATAAAATCTGTAATTTCGTATTATAAAATCATTCTTTAATTTTACTGTAGCCAGTAAACATTTGGTTTTAGCTTTCTTTACTACGAGCCTTTTTGGCCCGAGCATGAAACTCAATTTTGGTTTGAAAACTTCGTGAATTTTCTGGACACACACACAATTCTGTGCAATTCGAACAAGGATTAAATAAATGGACATTGCACGCTAGTCGATAGGCCTAGTTAATAAAATCGGTGAGCATGAAAGGTTAAAGGTCACGAACGAATGAGAAAATGTAAACAAAGCAGACGACACGAAAATCATTGGTCAAATCTGAGAAAATTGTTCGTTATTTTATTAAGAAAAATATTTAAGATGAAAACTAAAAGGATAATTAAGAGTTCATGTAACTTTTAAACAATACAAACCATTTGTATCTGAAGCAGTGATGAAAGTTTCTACACCATGAAAACTGCTGCTGTCCTTGCACATATCTATGATGCCCTGAATAGCCAGACTTGGAGGTTTGGGTGCTGATCCACCCCCTGTTTTGTTGATTTCTTTTTTGTGATCTTTGAACGTTTTTTAGCAATCTTCTTACAATTGTTCCACTTGTCTTTAACTTCTTTTGTTGTTCTTAAGGCTACCCCCAATGAACTAACTTTGGATGCAATATTATCCCACACTCTCTTCTTTTTTTCATTTGATTGTTTTGAGCTTAGCAACCCATAATGTTTTTCCACCTCCCTTTGAATTAAAAGTTCCTCCTCCTTACTAAAATTCGTTTTCTTTATCCTTTTCTTATCCAAAGAGTGACTGGAAGCCATTTTGGAAATTAGCAGACGATATGGAACCATGGAATTATGGGACGCCGATTGTTAAGTTCTGATCTGTCACCTCGTTTCTTATAAAAAGGGACACTACTCCATTTTTCAAAGATCGACTTTGCTGCCCAACTTTCTGCATCTCTTGAATCACTTCTAAATAAGACAGGCCCAAAGTATTCCAGAAATAATGATAAAAATCGACCGTTAACCCATCTGGAAAAAACTGTAGCTCCTTAAGGCAAATATCAGCATCGCACGAATAGATTTCCTCTTCAGAAAGCTTATTTTCAACTAAACTAAATAAATGATTTGACAATTCCTATCAACATACTCTTCACTATACAATTTTGAATAAAACTCCACAGACTCTTGTAGAATATCAGGAATATTTTCAACAATCTTACCATTAGCAGCCTTAAGGCTCCTAACAACATTTGATTCTTGGTGAAACTTTTCAAGATTAAGGAAAAATTTGGAACATTAATCTGCTTCGAAAGCTATATCAGATTTCGATCGTATGATAGCACCTTGACATTTCAATTTCTCATAATGTCCTAATTTATTTCTTAATTCATAAATATGAGAGTAATCATAAGCAGGATCTTGACTGTCTCGACCGTAATGGGAATTTAATGCAGACTGAATGGTCCAAAATGCCTCCCGACTCTTTTTCCTTTTATTTTTGGCATAAATAATAGTTTTCTGTTTCACCTTATACTTAAAATTATATTACCAAGTTAATTTTTCAGTTTGATAAAGAGGACATTGAAGTGATTCATTATAAAGTGTTTCAATTACTTCACAATAAGCAGAGTCTTTGAGATACAAATTGTTCAAAACCCAGAGACCCAGTCCCCTCATATATTTATTACAATTAAGGTGAAGAGTAACATAGCTGCGGTCACTTCGAGGACAAAAAGTACAAAAACACAATAAAAGGGAACCAACAAAAATATAGTCTATTCTTGATTGTTAAAGATGCCCTTGCACAGTTTGATTTCGCGTAAAAATGCTCTTTTCAGGATTCTTTCATGTAAATAGGCCTAAAACTATATTCAATTTAAGATCTTCATGTGAGGAACTTGGCAATGGGTAAAGAAACAAGCCAAAGTTCAACATTTGAAACTGGATCATCATCACGTGCTGTAGATGGTAATATTGATAGCAAGTATACTAACAATTCCTGTTCTCACACTGATAAACAGAAAACTCCTTCATGGTGGTGTGTTAAGTTGAAGTCAACTGAACAATTTAAATCTATTATGCTATATAATAGAGACATCTGTGAGTATTTAGATATGATAGTTGAAGATGGGGCCCCTTATTTTCATTTAAAATATGAAAATGTTAATAATGAAACGAATAGAAGTAGAGGTGGTCTAATGACTTGGAAAAATACCAGTTTGTATCACATGTCCATAATTAATTCATGATTAACTCAATTAGAAGAGAATTATCAGCAGAATTCCAAAGAGTGACCAATCAAGAAAGGTCAAAAAATATTTTTTGGTTTATCCAGACTGTACATACATAGACATTTATGATTGGTTACAACTCTTAAATATGTAATAAGAACATAAGGATATGATTAAGAATACATGATAATTCATTAGAAACACCAATTAATGAAACAGTGTGCTTAATTTGTCACTAAAAAAACAAGGAAACCCCTCTTTAAAACGGCTTTAACAATTACCTTAAACTAATTCAATCTATTCCAATGCCTGGTAAACTTTTGTCTATCATTTATAAGAATTCAATATATACGTATTAAGATCTGATAAATGGTGACATCTAATATAAGAAATATGTTATAATTACTTTTAAAATTTCAGTGAAGGACAGATTAAAAGGATTCTCTGTAAAAGTAAGCAAATCTGGAGGATGTGATCAAAGTACATTTGAATCAAGTCAAGTTTGTTACAAAGACGAAAGTACCGAACTAAAAGATATTTATACTGTAGATTCATGTAAAGAAGGACAGTATGTTTTTATTACAACACCGAGAAGTTATCTAACTCTTTGTGAAGTGAAAATATTTCAAGGTGATTTATTATTACATTATGATATATTTACCTATTTATCTATTTGACATATCTATTCATTAGCAAAACTGCATAATAATTATTACGTACCACCAGG